ACCTGCCTCAGCCTCCCAGAATGCTGGGATTACAGGCGTAAGCCATCATCCAGGCCAGAAACCAAGGATTTTTAGATGTTAAAAACTAAGTATGCACTCCTTTGGAGAAGAAATCTCTAAATGTGGTCCCAGACTCTTATGTCTGGGGACAGAATTCATGAAGTATAAAAATCACTGGAAGTGGAAAAAGCATTAAGATGTTTTATATAATGAGCTGAAAGGATTTTCAGTAGTACAATAGAAGTTTACTAGTCCGTGTCTACTATGTTGATGGCTAATCTGAACTTTCAAATATTTAAAGTAGTGAGACCTAATTAATTTAAATAATGTAACTCAAGCCAAGTTAACAGAATTTTGCCTACTTTAATGTACATTCCCTACTTAATGAGTAAGATATAGTAGCAGTAAGAATCAGTGGCAACTGTTGCAAGGTAAATGCTACTTGTGTATGTTTAAAAACATTGAAAAATATAAACATCTTTATGGCATCCTTCAAAATTAATTCAACAGTTAAATTGAGGGCTTTCATACCTGGTATGAAGCCCATTGCCTTTTTGAGCTCAACATACTGAAACCCCCAGCCCTCCCTTGGTGTTTTAATAACATATTACCTCTGCATCTTTTTTTGCCTTACTTTATTCTGCCTGGTATCACACTTATTATATTTAAAAAGGTCTCTTTGGACAGGGATTATGTCTTATGTGAGTTTGCAACTCCCTCACCACCCAACACAGTGGACCTTATAGGTGCTTAGTAAATGAGGGACTGAAATTTATTGTACTTTAAGACCAGAGCAGAGGTTCATAGACATTTTGTTCAGCTTTTTGAATGATTATGATGTATCTAACCCTTCATTAATTATAATCGTGCTGTAGAACAACATTCTGGTCAGCAATGGACTGCATAATACCGTGCTGGTCCCGTAAGATGACAGCACTATATTTTTACTGCACCTTATCTACAGTGGATATTGCCAAGTACACAGATACCATTGTGTTACCGTTGCCCACATGTAACATGCTGTGCGGGCTGTAGTCTAAGAGGAACAGCTTGTGGACCATCTAGGTTTGTGTCCATTCACTCAGGATGTTTACATGGGGACAAAATCACCTAGTGACACTTTTCTCAGAACGTATCCTTGTTGTTAAGTGACACATGACTGTACTGATAGAAGGGTATCTCAGGATTATAGAACATAGTTCCCACCTGTTAGAAAGTATCCTAGCTAGTGGTTCAAGACAAGCTGGAGCCAGAGTGAGACCTCTCTAAAAATAGCCAGATGTTGGGCATGCCTGTGGCTCAAAGGAGTAGGGTGCTGGCCCCATATGCCGGAGGTGGCGGGTTCAAACCCATCCCTGGCCAAAAAACTGCAAAAAAAAAAAAAGTATCCTAGTTGGAGATATGGGGGATGCTACTCTGAAAAAATGAGTGGTGCTGACTGAACACAGAAAGAAGTCGATTTTTGTGAATGAGCTCTTTTATCCTTTAACGTGTCTCTGCCTAATTCTTTAGTAATAAAGTTTAACTCTAAAGTATTTCCCCTGCTCACCACCATTTTTAGTTTTTAACTTTTTATCTTTAACCCTATGACAAGTCACACTCATCCCTATCTACATGATGTAGAATTTTTCTTCCAACATAATTTTATTTATTTATTTATTTTTTGCAGTTTTTGGCTGGGGCTGGGTTTGCACCCACCACCTCTGGTACATGGGGCCGCGCCCTACTCCTTGAGCCACAGGTGCCACCCCCAACAGAATTTTTAAATGTTAATTTCTATATTTATGATAAATCCATCTTTTAAAGAAATAATCTTAGCCTTCACCCATTGAGAAAATGTAGGACCTATATTAGTTTTCTGTTGCTGCCATAATAAATTACAATGTAGTGGTTTAAAACAAGATACATTTATTATGTTACAGTTCTGTATGGCAGACACATCTTCTCTGACTAAAATCAAGACATTAAGGGACTGTATTGCTTTCTGAAGACTCCAGGGGGAAACCTGCGTCAGGCTCATTTGGGTGGTAGGCAGAATTCAGATCTTTGTGGTTGTAGGCTGAGGTTCCTGTTTTCTGGCTAGCTGTCAGCCGAGGGCCGTTCGCAGCCCCTGGAAGGTGCCTACATCTTGGTTTATGGCCCCTCTTTCTGTCTTCAAAGCTGGAGGATCAGTGAGAGCCTTCTCACGTCTCAGCTCTTTGACCTACTTTAAAAACTTATGATTAGTTTGAGGCCACTCAGATAATCTAGGATAAGCTCTCTTTCTTCAGGTCCTTACCCTAATCTCATCTGCAAAGTCCCTTTTGCCCTGTGAGGTAACATACCCCAGATTCCAGGGATGAGGATGTGAACGTCTTACGGGGCTTGATTCTGCCTATCAGAGTCTTATTTATTTTATGTCATTATTCTACCTTACTGGTTCAGTGAATTGAGTCTCCTATATAGTTTACAGGGAAATCTGTGGGGACATATAACCTTGTAAAGCATGTAGTATTTCTTTTGTTTGTTTGTTTTTGGAGGTTTTTTTGAAACAGAGTCTCACTATGTTGCCCTGGTAGAGTGTTGTGGAGTCACAGCTCACAGCCACCTCAAAGTCTTGGGCTTAAGCAATTCTTTTGCCTCAGCCTCCTGAGTAGCTGGGACTACAGGCACCTGCTACAACACTCAGCTATTTTTAGAGACCAGATCTCACTCTGGCTCAGGGTGGTCTCGAACCCATGAGGTCAGGCATTCTACCCACTTCAGTCTCCCAGAGTGCTAGAATTACAGGCTACCACACCCGACCTAAGCACATACTATTTCTGTCAGATGTGATTTTTACTAAAACACAGGAAAGAATAATGATGTGTAAAAAATCCTGGGTTTCACTCTGGAGAAGATAGAATCTGAGCTTGAGTTCTGAAAGCTGAGTGCTAACTTGAAAGGTGTAATTGGTGGGCAGAAGAAGGGCCTTCTAGCTGGGAGGAAAAGGTCGGGGATGGCTGTGGCATGGTCAAGATCTGCTCTGACCTTGGCCACCTCTGCTCCCATTTCTCCATCACCCTCTTTGTTCCCACCATTCCTGTCCTCTCCAAGCCTCGGGGCTGACTCTATCATGAACCGTCCCTGGGCTCCTGGGCCAGATGACTCATGTCTTCCTCTGCCCCACTGTGCTCTGCCCAGAGTTCCCAGTGGCTTCTTACTGAGTTTTAATTTGTCATCTTGGTTAACTGCCTTATTGTTTATCTCCCCAGTTAGAGTGTTTTTTAGGACAAAGAGTATTTTTTTCCTATTTCTCTTTCTCTGTATCCTTTAGCCAGAAATAATACCAAGGAAGTAAGATTTATTAAAAAGAAAGGTGGCAATGGATGGAAAGGTGGGGGTACCTGGCAGGAAGCATGCCGCCAGGGCCAGTATTTGCTCCGCAAATATTTGTTGAAGAGGACGAGGAGTGTGGCTCCGAGGAAAGCAACAGCAGTTGTTTTCAGAGGATGAGACATACAGGCAGAGGCACAGACAGCCAGGCAGAGGCACCATGACTCATAGAGTAAGATAAGAACAGTCGTGGGGTTTGTGAAAGGACAGAAGCCGTGCTGTGGGAGGTTGGTTGGGCACTGGTCTACAGGATGGACTGGTCAGGGAAGGAGGAGAGCTGGAGGGGTCTGTTGGGGAGGTTGCTAGAGTAAGTGTGATGACTTCCTGGACTGAGGTGGTGGCAGTGACAATAAGAGGAAGCCACTGAGTTGAGAAACATTTTGAAATAAGACTTGACTGTTGGACTATAGGAACGAGGTCATGGCTCACCTATACCATGAGAAGAATTTTAAATCTGCTGACGGAGTTGGGGATAAGAAGTCAGTGTGAGAGGTGACGAGCAGTTTGGGACAAAGTGAACTGGACATCCGCATGGGTATGTCCTGTTGATAACAGGAATATGAACGAGGGCACAGCTGAAAAGGGGGCGCTGTGGGCCATCTGTACAGCAGGGTCCTAAGAATGGGCTCCCCGAAGGAGTCAGGATTGAACAGGGGCTGTGCCTGTCAGGTCTGGGGACACACAGGACTGGTGCTGGGGAACGTGCCCAGGCTCTCGGGAGCTGCGGGGCAAAGGCGAGTCTGCAGTCCGCCCCGTGTCTGCACCCTTGCTCTCTCCTGGTCGCACCTGAGGGATCCAGTTGTTTTCTCCTCCCATGGTTCCTATTTTGGACATTTGTTTCCTTATAAACATCTGCTGAGGGAGAATGATTTTCTTTTGTCCATATGATGTAATGTCTCATGCCTGAATTTCTGAAAATGGCTTTTGTTGGTGAGCTGTGCCAAAAGAGGGCTAGGACCTAATTGGAACCAGCCTTCCTCTCCTGGGAATTGGCTACAGGATGTTAGGAATTCCTATTCCTGTAGGGTAACGACGTGATGTACAGGAAGAGGACTCAGCCGGACCGTGACAGGACACTGTTAGTACACCTCTGAGTGGTGAGTCTTCCTGTGGCCTATAACTTGCTTTAGGTACTTGGTTTAAAACAAACTTTAGGATGACGGAAAAAAAACTCTGGGAATGAGTTTAAAGTAACAATTCTAAACCTCAGCTTGTCTTAATGAAGTAAAATGGATGCATGTAATTCTGGTTTTACTTTATATTCAAACTCACAATACTAAAGAAAAAGAGAGACAGAGGCTGAGAACAAAATGAAGACATTGTAGTTTATCCAGAGGCCTTTATTACCTCATAGAGTGATGATTAATGTTCAAAAATAGTTTATTTCCACATTAAAGCTTTTCTTTTCCTTCTGGTTTTTATTCAAAACACGTACCCTACATGCAGTCGTCTGTTGAGCCAGTGTGCACAGAGTGCTGGGCCTGCGAAGCAGCTGTCTCCGCAGGGGGCGATGCAGGTGCCCCAGGCACAGTCCCGGCCCTTGGCCCTCGGGGAGCGGGCAGTCTAGTGGGGGTTTGCTCTGTCAGTAATTCAACTACAAAGGAGAAGGCAGTAAATGTCAAATAAGGAACAACCCAGGCCTCAGGAAGCGCCACGTGGGAACCGTAGAGGGAGGGAAGTGACCACGTGAGAGGAAGGGATGTTGAGCTGGGCTTTGAAAACTCAGAAGGCGGTGAAGACCCAGTGTCTCTGCTTTAACAAGCATCTTCTCCGTGACAAGCCTTGCTGTGGATGCTGGGAATACAGGAGACACCCTTTCTTCCTCAAGGAGGGGGTGGCATGAAGGGAACAGGGAACTTATTTTATGGATTTGGGGTCCTGGCCGGGAAATGCCACAGCAGGGGTCATTTGTGAGCTGAATAGTGGAAGAAGCAGGGCGTGTCTGGGGCAGGTAAGGGAGAAGGGCGCTGCAGGCTGCAGGAACAGCACAGGCAAAGGGACGGCATTAAGCAGGCCTAGTAGGGAACCTGCAGCCTCTGATATCAAGATTCTCTTTTATACACCAGAGGAGGCAGGAAAAGCTCCATTTCTCTCTGCTGCACCCCTTGTAGTAAAAGGATTTGTTCTGCAAAATTTGATTCAAAAGGTTACACTTACAGACCTAGAAAGCCACATTTTGCCCCACGCGTGATGGAGAGAGAAGGCTGCAGAGGTGGAGGAGGGGCAGGAAGGGAAATGGTCACTGTATTTAGGAAAGGTCACCTGGGCAACTTGGGAGGGAGGGTCACAGTTTAGGTTGGGAATTTGCAAGACCAACCACAAGGATACCAATGGGAAGAGACTGCTGCTGCTTTCACTGTGAGCAAAAGAGAAGTAAGGTGTAGCGTAGCCAATGGAAAGAGAGAAGAAATACACAAAATGTAGAGGTGAAATCCCACAGTTTGGTTCCTGACGGGGTGTGAAGGAAGAGTCTGTGTTTCTGACTTGGCTGACTCAATGTGGGGTGGTGCCTCCACCCCATTAGAGAACACAGGAGAGATGGAGGGGTTCCGTTTGGGGTCCTTTGGTTCAGGATGCCTCTGAGACAGCCAAGTTGGAGATGTCTTTCTTCACGGAATTGGATATTTGGGCCTCAGGCCTAGGAAAGAGTTGCAGTTGGAAATACAACGAAGATATATGATGCAAAGCAAGGAAGTTTGCGAGGTCTGCAGAAATCCTCAGCATGGTATGGGTGGGATATAAGGGAGCAGAGGACAGGCAAGGTAAAACTGGGAAGGTCAGGTCCCAGAAAGGTTTCCTTGTTATGCTTTGGAGTTTGTGGTTACAATTGACCCTTGGACAACATGGCCTTGAACTACATGGGCCCACTTATATGCAGATTTTTTTCAACCAAACATAGGTTGAAAATGAAGCATTTCCAGGATTTGAAACCTGCTTGTGTAGAGAGTCGACCTTTCCTATATGTGGGTTCCGTAGGGCCAACTGCAGGACTTGGGTATGCTTGGGTTTGGCTCTACCTGGGGTTCCTGGGACCAGTCCCCCTGATACACTGAGGGATGACTGTGATTCATAGGTATTAATGTTTCCATGTTTATTTTCTGAAAGAAGAACATGCTACGTGGACATTTTGCCCCCTCTAATGTTTAATGGTAGATACCACACTGGTGTGTAGGGGACTGCTGCTCACCTGACTCCTCTTCCTTCCAGCTGCTCGGCTGAGTCAGGCCAGTGCTCGTGTCGGCCGCACATGATCGGACGCCAGTGCAACGAAGTGGAATCTGGTTACTACTTTACCACCTTGGATCACTACCTCTATGAAGCAGAAGAAGCTAATTTGGGGCCTGTAAGTAGCGGGCAGTGCTTGGCAGGTCGGGAGAGCAGCATTTTGTGGGGGGA